GTAATGCCCAAGATTAAGCTGGGCCAGCATTCATTCATCCACTTAAGACTGCTTTATAAATAGCTGGTGGGGCAGACGTTTCTATCGGCAACACTCATTCAGATCTCTCCTGGCAAGGAGACTGGCATTGCATAATGTAGGCCAAGTCTAATAACATCTCCTTAACCAATGAGCCCTCTTGCTGGAGGTCTACCTGAATCTGCTAACTAAAAAGACATCATACAACACTGATATGTTATGATATGATATGTTGATATGTGTTAGCTTCAGTGCTCATTATTCTATTTTCTCACCACAAATAAATGTTAACAGTAGGTTCAACTTTAGAATCAGTTTAATATACCACAGATTATTTCAATATTCTGTTTCTTTTCAGTGCCACAATCAGGTTCTAGTTTAAGCTTGCCTCCAGCTATTTTGCTTCTCTAAGTTTAATGCAGAAGCTTAGTGAGAGCTTTGATAAATCATGCACTCTGGATGGAAAAAACCCAACCCTAGATAAAGAAACAATCTTACTGCAATTTCTGAACAGTAACATCCAATCAGCAGTTGTCATCCCAAAGCAACAAATACAAGAAATGAAAAATCAGTGATAGCCTTTGTAGCAATCCTGTATGAGCTTGTTTAAATACCATACGTCTGCCACATAAAGTTTGATTTTTACACTGGAGTCTCGGAGACATTGGTTCCCATCTCACGAAGGCCTCTCCTTGGAAACAGAACTTCTGGATTCCATTTCTGATCCTATAATTGATTCACTGTGTGGCCTTTGGAAACTTCATATAAATTCCATGTTCTCAAAAAGGAATCCATATCTGCCTAGCTAAAACCTTGAAGACCATTTGATATTTACAAAACATTTGGATGATACAAAAGCTCTACGGTTGCAGAAAACAAAACTCCCTTCTTTGATCCAGGTAGTTATCATGTCAATATCAGTGTGAAAATTTAGTAAATCTCAGCACAGCCCTTGTATGTATAAACGTAATGCCAGTGGAAGATACAAAATGGTATAAAGTTGTGTACAAAACGTGTTATGATGCATTGTGGAAGTAGCTGCATGGTGGCTTCAGACTGCAGGCAACACAAGCGGTGTTTTGGTTTTGGTTTTGAACTAATACAACTAGACTGAAGCTGGAAACAGAGATAATACTTCAACAGAAGATTAGTGTCCAGACTAAAAAGTCAGGGGGGGTTTACAGTGTAGCTATAAGTTGTCCTCACTTTGAGAAACTCAGAGGTCATCTCTGCTTTGGTAAAACACAGGCAGTTTGATATCAATACAGAGAAATGACATCACATCTCACCATCATTACAAATCATCATATGCTCATTGATTTAGCAGCTTTTTAAAATCTCCTTAAACATTTAACTCTTCATTTCCTCTCATAAGGAAAATAGTCACACAGATTCAGTTATTCCAATTTCATGTATTCAACTACTATGGTCAGTGCACATTTCTGTACTGCAATACAACACTGGATTACCTAGCATATTTGATGATTCAATCATGCTTGTGTCTAAGTCAGTCCAATACAGCCTTTGGTCTGCATAGTCAATAGTGAGGTCATTGGCACGACCCACTTTATCCACCAAAGTGATGCTGTTTGTTCCATCCATGTATGCTCGAACAATCCTAGGTTTCCCTCCCCATTCAGTCCAGTACATGTATCTGCAATGGGAAGTGGAAAAAAAAGGGTACATCAGCTAGGTAAGACTGTGTTTAGCTGCATGCTTTGATTTTTCTAAATTTATTTTCAGTTCTTAAAAATAAAAAAGGAATAACCCATGTGGTTATGAGCAGTATTACAGTACTCCTTTTTAGACAAAGGCAGAAAAATACGATTGACAATTCTTAATTTTTCATTGTAACCCATAGGGCTGAGGAGTGTTTATCATCTTTTCAAAGACCCTGAAGAAATGGAGCTACAAAACCTGCCAATTAACTTATCATGTACAAGAATATGCACACAAAGCTTGTCTCTTACCCTTTGGTAGGATCAAGAGCCAGAGACCTCGGATTGTCCAAGTCCTTCCACACAAGCACCTGCCTATACTGTCCATCCAGGCGGGCTACTTCAATGCGATTGGTTCCAGTATCTGCCCAGTAGAGGTTCTTTCCCATCCAGTCTACAGCCATTCCCTCGGGATAATCTAGCCCAAACTCAATCACATGTTCAACAGAGCTCCCATTCATGAAAGCTCGGCTTATGGTCTGGAAAACAATTGTGTAAAAATATTATAGCATTTACAGATACCCCACTGAAATAAAAATGAAAAATTATTATGAGGTTTAGTGTAGAAAAGAAATCGGTGAAAAAAAAATCAGTCAGCATTACATTTTTTTAAATAAACTTCCATTGTCAAAAAAGATATAGCTGTTCACAGGATAAAAAGACCTAAATTTCCAGACAGCTAGTGGTTTTTGATGACCAGTCCAGTACACGTTAAAAGGATGTGATTTTCAGAATGCACTATTCATCTGCCGATTCTTCTTTGCCCCTTCTCTCTCTCTTCTATTTGCACACAAAAAGGGTTTTTAAAAAATTAATTTGCTATATAACTTTTTAAGTCTCAGAAACACATCTCAATTCAGCGAAATCTGAATTCAATTGTTTCTCATGATCAGTCACTTGGACCAAATTGGCTGATCCCACCTACATTTTAGTTATGGACGCTCAACAGAGGAAGTCACAGGGCAGAGACTGTGTACATATAAATAAGCCACTCCTAAAAAGGAGCGACTGCTAGTATTTCAGCTATTAATTTCTTAATAATATGATGAATGAATATATCAGGGTAAGAGACATTTTATGTTTTTAAAGGTAAACGTCAAAACCAGAAATGGTGGTGTATATTTTTACAGGTATCACTCACGTCTCAAAAAAAGTATAATCCCTTTTTGAAAATGAGTCCTTATATCACCAGAGGCAGGAAGAGATCATGGAAGTGGTGGTCGCCAAAGGAGAGGGAGATGACTGCATGCTCTGGCGTTACACTACCTGCTGCTAATCTTCACAAGGTAGGAGGACAGGGGGAATGAAAACCCATTCGTGCTGAAGCATACGCTGACGCATATGTGAAAACACAGTATGCTGGATAATTCAGGAGGCCACAAAGAAGTAAAATGATTTCCAGTTCTGCGTACAGCAAAACTGGGATCTATGCACTGACACAGTTAAGTAATGTATTTTCCACTACAAATGGTTAAGATGACCATAGTTCCAGCTCTCCACATGCTTGCATGAGATTTATTTAGTAACTGTGTCTGCAGTATGCTAGTTTATTACACTGGCACCATTCCTAAAGGAAAGGTATCCACACCACATTCTGCGCCGTTAACGCTGAAGCACAACCCTCATTTGTCTTCACGGAAAAGTCTATGGAAACTGCATGTGCCCTGCAGTCACTAAAAATTAGCTTTTCCTTATTATGGCTTTGGCACATTGGCAAGGAAACTTTGATCACTCTTGGAAAAACCTATCAAGATGCTAAACAGAGAGGAGAATCTGTAATTTCGTACTATTACAATTCACTTCAAAAAGCAAAGTAACACTGATGAACAGCACAACACTCACTTTAGCATGCACCTGGACCAAACATGTCACAGAAAATGTCAGACTCCTGGGCAACACACTGGGATAGAACTGGAGGCAGACTGGGGCTTAACACAGTGTGGAGGGGACTGGACAAGTTCCCTGGCCTTTTCTGTGCCAAGTTGGAGCCACATACTAACAGCAATCAATCCACAATTGACTTGCTAGATGTTAATACTGAGTGAGATTGCCTTCCAAACAAAACTGAAAAAGGTTAGAAGGCTCAGGGGGTTGCCAAGCTTGATGTTTAGATTACTGTGCTGTGACATGAAAACAGCTTTTCTACAATAGATACATATATGGATGCAACACATGCAGCATCCAAGACTTAGGCATTTGGTATGAGCAGACACCGCTCAGGATTTTTATTTGAAGCAGGAAGATGCCTGTCACCCAACTGTGCATGCAGCAATGCAACTGTCTTCATCTCCAAGAGTCTCCTTGGATGCAATTCAATGACAACATTAGCAAATGAAGGACAGATCACATAACAGAGACCTTTGTTAGATCAAAGTAACTGCTCTGTGGCTTCACATTCAGGGAATTCACATGTCAGTAATACCTTCAAACTAACATCAGTCCAATAGATTCTGTTATCAGACACATCAAAATCCAGAGCAGATGCTTCCTTGACTCCAGTGAGAGGAATAGCAACATCATTATTATTGGTTTCAAGGGAAATCCTATGGATTGCTGCTCTGCTTGTGAAAACTAAGAAGGCTTCGGGAATGATGCAAGTCTTCATGTCACTCAACAGCTCAAGGCCATTGGGACAGGCACACCTGGTCTCCTGAGGTGTAAATAAACACAGATGGCTGCAGCCTCCGTTGTTCTCTGCACACGAATTAGTTCCTTAAAAACAAACAAACAAACAAACAAGCAAAACAAAACAGATATTGGTACACTGTGGAGGTAGGGGAGAAAGGAAAGGGAGAAAGGCTGAGCTGAAATGCAGTGTAACTATAACTTTCAAAATAAGTTAACACTATGGGTTGTCAACAGGGAAATCTGAAAACGACGACTTTCAAAACTGTTTCTTTCCTTCTATCCAAGAATTAAGAAGCTGGTACTAATCCTTCTATAGAACAAGTAACAGCTACAACATATCCTTCTAGTTTCCCCAAAGTTCAAATTCCTTCACTGAAGGCAGGTAACATGTCCAGCTTGGTTATTTCTGGCCAAGTACGGCATCTCTGTATCTCTTTGAAACCACCAGTTTTATCAGTTTAGCTTTTTATCATGTTCGGTGATACAAAAAGGTGAGAAAAGAGCTGGATAACTGCAGTTCTTTCTCAGCTGTTTAATTTAAAGTTGAGAAGATACACTAGCTGAAGCGGTTCCAACAAGATCACCACAATCTCACACTTGTTTTTGTGTGAACAACCATGACTAGATGGGGAAGGAATGTGGAGGGGAAAGTAAGGACCAAAAGATAACTGAGTGCTCTTCTATATCTGCTGGAACCAAGGATTTAGGTATTTAAAGACTGTTACCACAAAAAACCAACCAACCAACCAAAACCCCACACAAACAAACAAACAAACACCACAAAAACCCCAAAACCCCAAGCAAACAAAAAACAACAACCAAAAAACCAAACCAAACTACAAGATCAGTGTCAACCAGGTGTCTTTAACTTTCTCTTTCTAGGGCATAAGTATCTCAGACTGATGCTGTAACTTGCAGCTCGAGGATTAATTATCCTTCGAGTAAAGCTTCCTGAAAGGCTGGAAATCCATATACTGGCGTTGTGATTCTGTTGCCACTGTTCTCAGTAATTTTAATAGCTGACCAATGAATCCATTCACTGCTATGCCCAGAGCCCAGTGTTCCAGGTAGTAGACAGATCTGTGGTGACCACGCACCTCTCATGAGTTACAACTGAAGACAAGAGCTCCTGTGACATACAGAATGCTGGCAGAGGACCTGAAACACTGCCTGCACCTGTCAGTAGATTCACCTTTCAGTGGAAGAACACAGAGTTCCAGCTGCTGATCCATGCTAAGGGCAAGATTTCATTGTTAAGATTCAAGTTCAACTTAGGCGTTAAAGTTAATATTTAAGCGCCACGTGCCTTGAGGCAACATTGCAATGGCCACTAACTCCGTCTATGCCACCCAACACAGTAAAAAGCATTTTGCTAACTGAACACCACTGGGACTTCGCACTGGACGAAAAGAGCAACAGAAAATAGAGCGATTCTGTGAGCACCAGAAGTAATGATTCCCGTAGACTGGAGGCAGGAACAAAATTCTTCTCACAAAAATTCACACAGCGTACTGGAAGACTTCACTAAACGTCACTAAAAACTGGAAGACCATACTTCTTTTGCAACACTGTATTTTCCCAACTTTACAAACAATAGTGCAGTTTTCCTTTAAAATTATTCAAACATATGAGACCACAGTTATTCTCATAACGAGTGTCCAAAGGTTACTTAATGAAAGCTAGCCCATCTAGAAACGCCTATGATTGCTCATGCTTACCAAACACTTTGCTAACACTTGTTGCTTTAAGGCCCATTAAATCTGGCAGCTGATCAATAATGACATCTCGGCTAGCCTTTATCTTGTGAACTCTTTCAATGCTTCGTCTCTGCCAGTCGGTCCAGTAGATGTAATCTCCCAGCAGTGTGAACCCAAATATATGTGGAAGCTTATCTTCTAGGAGGGTTTTCCTCATTGTTCCATCAACATTTATGACCTGTGGGATGCATGAGAAAGAAAGAAAAAATAATCTTTAATGTGGGTACAATTAATATCGCAATATCAATCATACTTTGGCAACTCCTGTATTGCTATGCAAGAACCTCCTGAAATGCACAGCATGCTTCTTCCAAAAGAACATTCCTCTAGGTTTGCTGAAAGAAAAATATATTGGAATGACAAGGCTGAAAGTGGCTTATCTCACTCCTTCTTGTAAGCAACACGAATTTAATTTGCAGCAGTTCAAACCTGCAAAGATCACTGCAAAGAGAGTGCTTTTGGGGATGGGAGTGGGGCTTAGGAGATATCTAATCTCCCCTCGTGTCTTGGTCTCGCTACTGAACTCTCTGCCCAGAAACAAAGGATTGCTGGAGTGACCTTCGGCACTCAGTCATAGGGAACAAAGGCCATAAGAATTATTTCATGTCACAACAAGGCCATGTAGAATCAGCACTTTCTGAAATTTTGTGGGGTTTTTTTACCATAAATAATTAAGTTTTTCTCACTCTTGTGGTAAGATGTGGAATAAGTACTGACTTATACAAATTTGTACTCCTGAAACTGCAGAGAAAGCAAAATAGTACTGGTGATGGGATAAGCCCCACAGATACATATATCTATTGGTTAATTGTTTAATAACCAATTACTACAATGATCTCGTGCTGTCCTGCTTTGCTTGGCATAAGGAAAAAGATGAATGTAGTTTGACCCTTATCAATAATCATTGGGCAAGACAGGAAACTAAAATGTTCGCATACAGTTTCCCATGGCACATGTCTAAAGTCACCTCCATCTACTACACAAACTGCAATAATCTTTACAGTCATCCAGACATCTCTTACCCATGGCAAAGAGTGTACATTTATAAGATCCTGGCAAAATGTAAGTGTTTAACCAAGATTTATTTCTTATTTAAAAATGCCTATAACTTAAATGCGATGAAACTATTGAATGCCTAACAATATTTTGGGCATTCAAAATAAATCGTAAGTTTTACCACAAACAGTAAGTGGTAAAGCTTTGTCTGTACACGGTAAGCAGCAGAAGCACCTACAATTTCTTTTCTTAACATGACCCATGACTATCACTACACCTTACTAAATTAGCACGAGAATTTCAGTATGTTCACACACACCCATGGTAGACATCCGAGTAAACTAAAAAATGAAAACTCTACTTTGAAACTTTGTAATATTTTACGAATTTGTGAAAACAACACACATTTCTTCCATGATACAGCACCAAACATCCAACCAGAGTCAACCTACCACACACACACGGGACATGCACTAGATCTACCAGCCACCACCAGCCAAACAGCAGAGGTGAGCAGTCAACTACTGCATCCTATATTTATCCACGCTATAAACAAAAATCCTCACTGTAACACAGTCTATCTTGCAATGCTAGAGTGCACACGTCCTCAGCCATAGAGGAAAACAACTTCACAACAACTTTGAGACTATCTAGCAGCTTAGGTCAATTTGAACACGTGCTCCAACGTAAACATCTGGATTCCTTCCAGACAAAAAGCTTCCTGCTGGAGACAGTTAAAAATAACATTGGCATTCCTGAAAACTAAATTTCAGGGGAGTTTTTGACAGCCCATCAACCTACGATTCTTCTACTTGATGAAGTAGCAGAGACCAAAGATTACTCTTTTTATTTTCTTAAGCTAAATAGACTACATTAAAAAAGGCTGTATCTGTGGTTAAAAGCCAAATGGTTCTGCTGTTAAATCATTACATCACGTGCAGGCAAATCCCAAACGCTCACTTATTTATAACATGGCCTATGGTTCTGCTGTTAAATCATTACATCACGTGTAGGCAAACCCCAAATGCTCACTTATTTATAACAGTATCAATCCCATGGCTAATAGTGCAGATTCTAAAGTTCATCAGGGATACTCAGGTGCTGGAGCCAAACTCGTGCCACCCTAAGTAAACAAGACACCATTTCCTTTACAAAAATGCATCAGCAGGATGATGATCAAACTACCACTTTTCCAAGTACTTTTACAGATATGGACAGTAAAAGTACAATTCAAATATTAGAGATGCTGACTAAAATACACTAGACAAAGATTGGACCCAAGGAAGCAGAAACACACATCATTGAAATACATGTGAATCTGTGGATGTTGCAGATGACACCAGGCTGTTGAACTTCATGAGCCTCATGAAATCCAGTAACGCCAAGTGCAAGGTCCTGCACCTGGGTCAGTGCAATGGCCAGTACCAATACAGACTGGGAGATGAACGGATGAATGGATTGAGCAGTCCTTCCAAGAAGGGCTTGGGGATAGTGTGGATGAAAAACCGGACATGAGCTGCCAATGTGCACTTGCAGCCCAGAAAGCCAATCATGTTCTGCACTGCATAAGAAGCAGTGTAGCCAGCAGTTGAGGGAAGTGACCCTCTATGCTGCTGTTGTGAGACACCACCTGGAGTACTGCATCCAGCTCCCAGAATAAGGCAGACATGGGCCTGTTGGAGTGGGTCCAGACAAGGGCCACAAAAATGATCAGAGGGCTGGAAGACTTCTCTTATGAAGAGAGGCTGAGATCTGGGGTTGTTCGGCCTGGAGAAGAGAGGGGTCTGGGGAGACCTTATTGTGCCTACATTATAGGGCTGTTCAAGCACAGTGAGAATGGAGATCCAAAACATGGAATCAGACAGCAATAAAATGCTTAATGGCTTATATTTTGACTAAGGCGGTGATGGAGTAAGTGTTTGCTCTCTCTCTCTCTCAAACATCCCTAACTCCCAGCCCTGTGGGAGCCAAGCAGGCTTCCCTTGGATGCAGAAAGGCAGCTCTGACTTTGAAGAATCTTAGTGGTAGCTAATTTGTGACAACAGGCAGGAAACACTAACTGCCTGTTAGACTATCATCTAGCAGCAGCCAGGGAAAAGCTTGAACAGTGACCTGTTGCATGCATAGCTCTCATTTCAAATTTTGCTGCCATCCATCTTCCCAGAGATTCACCTCTGCTCCAGCATATTAACTGAAACTATAAGGATGCAAAATAAAAATTGACAAGCAGGCCTCACAATATGGTCCAAAGCACAACTCCTTTCACTAAAATGGCACAGCTAATAAATGCCATATTAACTAATAATTTAATATCAGAAATGGTGTGTAGCCTGCTGACTGCAGTCAAAGGGAAGTTGTTTAGGTGCATTCCTTATAATTTAGCACAAAGAGATGAGAACAGGCTTTTTTTCTACTCAGAGTTTTCATTCTCCTTCTGCAACTGATAAATGGGTCTCGACTTGGGTCAAAGTATAACTGCAACACTAAACCAGCTGTGCTTTCCATAGGAAACACCAAAAGCCCCTCTTGAACAGAAGCACACTCAGAAGCCCCTGATTAATCTTGATTAATTCAATGACAAATCTCCTAATGAGGCATCACCAAGCTTAGCTAAGATCTGTTATGGGCAGAATGAAATCAACATCAAACACCTTAATAAACTGAATTACACAAAACCCACGATAAGGTGATAAGGTGTGATTTTTTTTTTTTAGATGCTGCGTCAGTGTATGCAGAATGATTTAACAAATACTTCCAAATATAACACTCAAAAGCTCTTGGTTCTTTGAAGAAGATTAAAGTAAAACAATGCAATTAAATTCCACACATCAGTGTGATTCATGTAATCAAGTTCTATTTCAGGTGCGTCTGTGAAAAAAACCCCAACTATTCAGCATACATATAGGATGTCTTTTGATAAAACAACAAAGATAACTCAAACATCTTGCTCCTATATTTAATTCATTCAAACAAACAAAAATTATTCAATTGCTACAGACAAAGCTATAGTCAAATGGAAACCAATCCCTGGGCTGAGCTAAACCACTTTGTGAGCAGTAAGCAGACATAGCAGGATAGCAAGGGTAAAATGACATGACTGTCATATTATTAGGAGATGCATGTGGTGGGCTTATGGGTCTCTGACTCTCCTCTTGCGGAGCTCTTTCTCCTCCCCTGTGGATAAGGAGAGCTACACTTTCTTTTGCTGTGAGGGTGACTGAGAACTGGAACATGGTGCCCAGGGAGCTTGTGCAGCCTCCATCCTTGGAGATATTCAAAAGCCACCCGGGGAAGTGTCTCTAGGTAGCCCTGCTTGAGAGCAGGGGGGTTGGACTAGATGACCTCCAGAGGTCCCTGCCAACCTTCTAACAATTCTCATCAGAAGAATCTAGAAGAGATCTCAACTGAACAATACCCAGTCTTCTTTGGCTGGAGAAAGAACTTGAGACACAAATCACGTTGGTGGCAGTCAAGAGGGAAAGAAGAGGACAAAGAAAAATGGACAGAAGGGGAAAGTTCAGGAGGATGAAGAAACCTGCCCAAAAAAGAGAAGAGTGAAGCAGCTGTGGAGCAGTCTGTACCACAGTTCATATTCAGCTGAGTATAAGTAATTTGTCAGCATTTCCAACAGCTGAGACACAACCACTTTTCATCAATGCTTTGGGATAAAAGTGAACTCCTTTTTTTTCTGGTCTGAAGAGGCTTAATGCCAGGCATGTCTTGGTAGACAATGGCAAACAGAAAAGAGAATAACATCAAAACAAACAGGACCAGAACATATCAAAAAAGGGCAACAAATATATTTGGCCATTTTCCACAGAAAAAGGCTACTTGAGTCTCCTAGCGATCTGTTGCCTCAAACAGTTGAGTAAGACCTGAGAATTTAGAACAAGTGCTGTTCCTCACTGCTGTCAGTAATTTTTGTCCACCTTGACAATATTTAGGCTACCTGGTAAAAGCTGCCTCATAAATAAAAATCATCAGGTCTATATTGTGATTACATTTCATAGATTAATCCTACACGTACTATTGTGCCTCTTCTTTCAGATCACTCTCATTTCAGATAAGTTTTGATGCTGCCATAAATTTCTATTATTATTTTCTGAACCCTGACATTGCTTAGGTGTTAGTGTTGTTTGCAATTTGCAAATTATCAGCACCCACCTGCATCTAGAATA